ACTTTTCTTGGGAAGGGGTTCTAGTTTCTCAGATAGAAATGGACAACTTTAGTTAATCACAAATGTCAGCACAGCCTGTGTCTGTTACTCATTATATGTACTGATTATGCTTTTAAAATCTAATCTCCTCTTGCAGAGAGGACCTGGGGTCAAATCCCAGCACGCACATGGCAGTTAAAAACTATCCATAACTCCATTTCCAGGGGTTCAATGCCCTTTTCTGATCTCCATGGGCATTGCATGACATGGATGCACTTATATACATGTGCATGCCTGATGCCTAAGGAGGTTAGAAAAGGATGTCAGATCCCCTAGAATTGCAGTTACTGACAGTTGTGAGCTGCCATGTGGGTGCTGGGAATCAAACCCAGGTCCTCTGTAAGCTGCGGCCGGCCTGGAACTTGCTATGTAGACCAGGCTGGCCTCAAACAGAGATCCATCCGCCTCTGCCTCCTGAGTGCTGGGCATGTGCTACAATACCTGGCCTACAATCTTACATCTTGTGTGCCTGTTTTTGAATACCATACATAGGCTCCAAACATAGACTCAATATTGAACACTTATCTGTTTTGTTATGGAAATTTCTAAACACACACAAAATAATAAAATAATTAGCCCTCATGTATCTATTATGAAGGGATCTATTATCAACATATAGCTAATCTATTTTATTTATATCCACAGTTTCCAGCCCTCCATTCTAGATTATTTGAAATCAGCTACTAGGGGTTAGTGGTATAGCATAGTGGTGGATTATTTGCATACTATGTATTAAGAACCTGGGTTCAATTCTCAGCACTACACAAAACATAAAGGATTAAGTTTTGTTGGTTCACTGATCTTTTAAAAAGTGGGGATTTGGGAAGATGGCTCAGCAGTTAAGAGCACTGACTGCTGTTGCGGAGGACTTGAGTTCAGTTCCTAGCACCCATGTGGTGGCTTCACAACCACCTGTAACTCCAGTTCCAGGGGAATCAGATGACCACTTCTGGCCTCCTTGGGCACTGCATACATGTGGTATACCATATACCTGCTGGCAAAATACTTATACACATAAATAAAATTTTTAAAATTTTGTTTTATTTTTGGTTTTGAGACAGGGCCTCCTACTGTAGATCACACTGGCTCTGAACTCATGACCATCTTCCTTCTTCAGCCTCTGTAGTGCCAGGATGACCACGTTTGTGCAATGCCTACCAAGGGCAAAAGAGGACATCGAATTCCCTGGACCTAGAGTTTGGGTTGTTAGCTACACTGCAAGTGCTGGGAACCAAACACAGGTCCTTTGCAAGAGCAGCCAGTGCTCCTAACTGCTGAGCCATCTTTCCAGTGCCACCCTCCCAACAAATTTTTTAAAAAGGAAAAAGGAAGGAAGGAAGAAGGAAGGGAAGAAAGGACTTACCTCTGAAGCTCTAAAGCCAGAGGAAGGAGCAGTATCTTGACCTCATTAAAGCCACAGCTGATTTTCAGTTAGTTTCCTGTGCTACTGCTGTCCTCAGTATTAAAATACAAATATTATTCTGAAAAGGTGGCACTTAGGCATTGCTCTAGTACACTGTAATAGGTACTTGTTTTATTGTTGTGTTAAAGTACATGAACGGGGCCACTTAACGGAAGAAGGATTTATTTTGGCTTACAGTTTGAGAAGAAACAGTCCATTGTGGTGGGGAAGGCATGGGGGAGTTTTGTGGTAGCAGATAAGAGTTTGAACCCGGGACACCAAAGAGAGAAAGGGGAGAAGGGGAGCAGGGGAGGGTTGAGGAGGAGATAAAAGGGGAAAGCACTCAGGTGGGAATTAGTGTGGGCAATGACCACAGGCCAGCCCTTACCTACTTCCTCCAGAGAGGCTCCACCTCTTAAAGCTGATGGGGGCCAGGGAATGGAATGTGGTGGTTTGAATGAGGAATGTCTCCCATAGGCTCAAAATGTTGAACACTTGGTCCCCAGTTCATGATACTGTTTGGAGGAGGTCATGGAACCTTTAGGAGGTGCAGCCTTACTAGAAGAAGCAAGTCCCTGGGGGCGGGCTTTGAAAGTTCATAGCCTCACCTTACTTGCAGTTCACTCCACTTTGGGTTTGTGGTTCAAGATGTGAGTTCTCAGTGTCCTGCTCCTGCTGTGCCTGTAGCTTGCTGCCTTGCCTCCCCTCCCTGGATTCTTACACCTCTGGAATTGGTAAGCCAAAGTAAACTGTTCCTTAAGTTGGCTTTGGTCATGATGTTTTATCAGTCACGGAAATGTAAGTGATAGAGCATCAAACATGCAGCCCAGACATGTTCAACCCCACCTGGAGTGCAGGAATTACAGGTGAGTACATCCATGCCCAGCCCTTCATACTCTTGGAAACCATTGTTGCCCAGACCCTTCATGCTGATGGAAATCATTGTTGCTGACTAGAGAGTGTTGTGCCCAGAGAAGGGATCCCCAAGAATTACCATGGAGTCCAGAGGGCATGCAAGAACAAAGAGTCTTTATTCGGGCTTATGCTCAGACTTTCAGACCTCACCAACGCAGTGGATCTGTACTGAGAGCCCTGATTGCAGGGGGAGGGAGCTTTTCATAGATTTCAGACAAAGGGAGATTTACTAGAGACTGATAATTCATAAGATGACTGACAAAATATAAATGCCTATTTAATTTTTGTATAACAGCTCTTATATGAGCTATTTAAAACCAGTCAAACTTCTAGAAGCAATCTTCTTATCAAAATTGAAAAAGCAAGGTAAACTAATGAGTAATCACAATGAACCAAGAAATCCTAACTAATCCTGACTAAGACTGTACCCATGGGGCTGGAGAGATGGCTCAGTGGTCAAGAGCACTAGCTGCTCTTGCAGAGGACTTGGTTTCAGGTTCCCAGTACCCACATGTCAGCTAACAACCATTCCTAACGCCAGTTCCAGAAGATCTGATACCCTCTTCTGACCACCATGGGTACTGCATGACACGGGTGCAGTTACATACACATAGGCAATACACACATATGCATAAGAAAATAAATAAAACATTTTTTAAAAGACTGTACCCATTTCTCTTTCTAATTGACATGTAAAAATTGTACATACTTGTGAGTTGCACTGTGATGACAGAATACATATATAATGTGCAATCATTGTTTTATTTTTAATAAGTCACAGAGAAATTTTTCAGCCCCTTTCCTAATTATAGAGAAGTTACTAATCTTGTTCCATATTCTTCTTTTCTTGTGAATGAATATACAAAGATCAAGAAATATTTCTATGCCTAATTCTACAAATAACAGAACTAAAAGACTTAATCTTGTTTATACAATCATGATAGATTTTGGCTCCCATATAAAGAAAGCTGAGCATTAAGGGTGGGTTCCAGGGTTAGGATGCAGGGATTTGTGTTTCCCAGAAGAAAGAGGTCCTCTACCTCTCCATCCTACAAAGCTGCTACATTCATTCTAGGACTGCTTTCCTTTGTGATTACAGCAATCAGAGTCACATTGTTCCTGCTTTATATATACTGGGGACAGAGATGAACCATCTGTCATCACCAAAGTGTGCCCTTCTTTTACTCAATGAAGCAAACATGAGACAATCTCTATGTCCAGAGCAACTTATGCTAAAATGGCTTAGGTCTGGTGCCCTGGAGCACCCCCCTTGGCAGGCCTAGAAAAGTCAAAGTGACTCTGCTGAGATGATTAATTTCCTCATTTGTTTGAACAAGAGAAGACATTGATCTGCTGCCAAGATAAAGAGCTTGTGTGTGCATGTGTCCTTGTGGAGGGGAGCATGCATGTACAAGTGTGTGTGATTGTGTGTTTCTGTGGGGATCAGTGTGTGTGTCTGCGGATATGTCAGTGTTAGGGTGGTAATGTAGTTGTATAAGTGGAGAAATGTGCCTGTTGAGACAGTTATGACTGATGATCAAAAGTTCATGGTTAGGGTTAAGTGTTAATTTCAAGAAGTTTAGACAGGAAGAGGAAAATACTGAAAGAAACAGGGGAGAACAGTAGGAAGCCCATCTCTGAGTCACTACAGCTCTCCTTAGGTGTCCAGCTCCTATAGTGCTGACAGACCCTTCTGAATAAATACTTCTTAGAGTCCGCCATCATCATTAAAACTGTTTTCCAAATTTTACCTAAGAATATAAAACTAGTGAGAACTCAAGTTGATGAAACTACTTAGAATCACCTTTAAAATACCCAAGGTCTTGCTCTTCATTTACTTTCTATCTATTTTTTGAAAATTAAGTATATATATATCACTCAGCCATCTTTCCAGCCCCATCTATTCATTTTTAATTGTTTATTTTACAATTTACAAAGGAAATCCTAAAATGGGATAAGTTAAAATATTTCTACCCTATAGAAAGGAGCCCTACGTGATACTAAAATAAGATTACAACTCTTGACAGTATCTTACCAGAGATAGATAGATAGACAGACAAACAGATATATGATAGTTGGATAGATAAATAGACAGAGAGACATATAGATAGATAGATGATAGATAGATAGATAGATAGATAGATAGATAGATAGATAGATAGATGTATAGATACTCAGGGTTATTTGAATAGGTAAATTTATATTAAGATAGATGCAATTGTTTTAACAATAAGCATACATGTGACTATTCTCTAAAAATTAGTACTGTGATATATATTCTACTGGCTGCATGTTTAGCTTGGATTTTCGATATCCAATTTAAAACATGGAACATTTGGTACTTTTTATCCAAAGAGTGTTCATTAGTCAGGCAAAAGAGGTGCACTTTTTAAACAGATTCTCTGCATAGAACTTCAAGTATATGACTCAAAAATAACTTATTTTTGAGCTGGGCATGGTGGCATGCTCCTTAAGTTTGAGCACTCAGGAGGCAGAAGCAGGTGGAACTCTGTATGTGCGTATATATCTGAAATTGTGAAAAGTATTCTTTCAAACCCAACACACTCAAATCATTTGTTGTATTTAAACAATTGTGAATAAGGAGGCCAGAAGTCCTCAAACTAAAAACTTCATTTGTACTTACCCACGGTATCACATGGCTCATCTTTGTGTACACAGAAATCTTTCCTAAAAAACAAAGTAGAAAATCAAAGTAAAGATAGATTCTTTCAGATAATCAATACATACAAGATTCATGTTAATAGTTCCATAAGCTATATCATCTATGGGCCTAAATTTAATAAAACTCAGAATAAGATTCAGTAAGATTTAGATATGAAAAAGATTAATTAAAATGTAATACCAAACATATATGATAAAAATCCTAAGATACTATCTTCTTTAATACACAATATTTCAGAAATGAACTCCTGGTTAATTTTGAATACAAAATTTCATTGTGTTATTACAAAAATACAGTATCTGGTGTTGGGATATGAATTATCATAGGAAATAATATTGCAATACTATTTCACAAGACAGAAAGTTTCTGGGTTGGGGGTTTGAATGTAAGAAATATAATTTAAAGCAATGTATAGTTTCCTTTCAAAGGTTGGCAAGAAATTTCAATGATTAAAATCATTGTTAAAAGAGGAAATTATTTTACGTAAGTGGACTCTATGAAGATTTCGTAATTTTACTCAGTATTTTACCGCTGTATCTTAGAGAGCATTCCTTAAGAATTCATCACTCATGAGGTCTCACTGTGCAACAGTATCATGTCAGACTCCAAGAGGGCTTCATATTTGTTCTCACCTACTTAGGAATTCACAAACCATAATTTAACAAAACTTAAGAGTTTTGATATTGGGAGGTACAGTATGTGAATGATAGTTCTTTGTCTATCTGTTCACAGCAATGTGATCTTAGGCAGCTTACTAACCCAATCTTGCACCTCAGGCACCTACCTCAATTAAGAATCAGACAGAATCCCAACAAAAACGTTTATTGTGCAGGTTAAGTGATTTGGCATGTAAAAAATATTTAAAATTTAAGTGTATCATGCAAATTGAATGAGCCTCCCACATAAGATATGAAAACAATGTCAGATATGTAGTAAATTTAATATATTGACTCTTTATGGAAATTTTTGTGCTGTTGCTGCATTTCTTGTACCTAATACAAGTGGTCTCCTGTTGCTTATAATTTAAGATTTATATAATTTTTGTTACTTAAACTGCTGTAGCTGTTGTTTCTTTCTCTTCCATGAGTGTATGTGTGTGTGAATGACAAATTATCTTTTTGAAAAGTAATCCATTATCAACTATGGATCTGAAAGAAGTCCACTGAGAAACAAACAAAAAACTTAAAAAAAAAAATAGTGCACAAGGCTGGAAAGATGGCTGAGTGGTTAAGAGCACTGGCTGCTTTTGTAGCGACCTGGATTTGGGTCCAGAACCCACATAGTGGCTCACAGGCAGATCTAACTTCAATTCCAAGGGATCCAATGCCTTCCTCTGGCTTCTGTGCGCAGCTACATGCACATGGTGGGCTTCAACCAACTCAGGAACATGAATATACAGAGAAATAAATGGTGGCACATGCCTTTAATCCCAGTACTTGGGAGGCAAAGGCAGGCAGATCTCTATGAGTTCGAGGCCAGCCTGGTCTCCATAGTGAATCCAAGCCAGCTAAGGCTACAGGGAGACCCTGTCTCAAAAAGACCAAAAAAAAAAAAGAATATATATACCTTTAAAATTTTTATTGCATAACAAAGGTAAAAAGAGAAAAGGTTTTAAAGATAAAGAATGAAACAAAGAAGGGTTATGTATGTGCACACATGTAATCTTATGTTTCTCCTTTGTAAAATTATTATACATTAATAAAAACAAAGACATACAAAGACTAAACATCAAAAAGTATAGTGTAATACTGCTGACACATCATTATTGTTATCGCTATTAGCAACTACCATTTCCTGTTTACATCTTACTTGGATCAGAAGGAGGCTTTACAATCTAGCAACTGTGTACGATCTTGCATTTTTCATTACATATCTAAATATGTATTTTCTGGAGCAGACTTCTATACATATTCACTGAATAAATCTATTACATGTGATGATATGAAACTCATTAATGAAATAACTATGGATTGGTTTTTGCAGTTATTGGGGAAGAAATGTTAGTTCCATGGTAGTTACACTTGTGATGTCTCCAAGCTAGTGTCTACTAACTTTTGCTTTGTTTAGCTCAAAATTTGAATTACTTGTTTGATTTTTGGATAAAGAGCACACATATACCTTAGATTTTCATCACTGACAATTAGTGTGTGGGATGTAAGAGTTTTTCTTTGTATCAAAATCAATTTTGATTTTCTCTGAGTCTCCTGCACATGGCTAAAAATGCAAACCTAGTTTATTGATGGTATAGATCTATTATTGTTAAATATGAATTTATTACTTTGTGATTGCTGTTTTCCAAGTCCTGCTTTGATCCCCTTTTCTTTTAGTTTTATTTGCCTATATTTGTTTTTCTCTAGTGATCTAAAATCACACTAATTTCTGGGATTATTTAAATCTATTTTTATTTCTGTGTATATGTATGTGTCTGTGTGTATGGCATATGTGTGCAGGTGCCCGAAGAGACCAGAAGCTGGTCAGGTCCCCTGGGGCCAGAGTTACAGGCATTTGTGAACCAAATAGGTACTGGAAATTGAACTTAGGTCTTCTGCAAAATCATTAAGTACTCTTAACTGCTGAGCCATCTCTCCAATTTAAGTTTAATGTGTGGTCACATTGGCATTTTCAAAAGAGTCTATTAGTTTCTTCTTGCTATTATAATAATTAAAAACTTAAGGGCTTAAGACAACATAAGTTTACTATGTCCTAACAGCCTAGAGGTAGGTCAAAAGTTTGAAATTAGATTCTCTCTAGGCTAAAATCATCATGCTACAGTATAATGGTCCCTCTAGAAATCCCCCTCTCTGTCCTTTATACCCTAAATACCCATATCAAATGCACACAGGTCGTTCTGTATACTCTCCCATCTCAACATCCTTAACACAACTATATCTACAAAATCCCTTTTACCATGTAAGACAGGATATTCCCAGTGTCTGAGAACAGGGCCTGGGCATCATTATGCCCATTTAAATGACTTAAATAAAAAAAAATTCTTTAGTTCCCTTCTGGAAAAGAAAGGAAGAAGGGCAAAAATGCCCTTAATCCAGTATTCTCGTTATCCTTTTCTGTTTGCTTGTTTACTTGTTTGTATTTGTTGTTGTTGTTTGTTTTGAGGTAGAATTTTGCTATGTAGCTCTGGATCACCTAGCACTTGCTATGTCATCCGTGTTGGCTTTTATTTTGTGACAATTCTTTTTCCGTCACCCACGTGCTGACGTCATCGAGGTGCACAACTATGCCCAGCTCTTCTGTGTTTTTTAAACCTAATACTGCAGTTTCATCTTGGTGTTGATTTTATCTATCTACCTCCCTCCCTCCATATTTATTTTTGTGTGTGGATATATGTGTACAAGTGGGTATGTCTGTGTGTGTATATATTGGTTCATATGTATCTGTATGTGGGTGCACAGGCACATGTGTGAGCATGCGTGTGGAGGTCAGCAACCAATCTCAGGTATTTTTTTCCTTAGGTGCTTTGTTACTTATTTATGTATTCATTCATTCATTCGTTCATTCACTCATTTGTTTATTGTTGGAGACCACTTCCCTGTCTGAACTCTGCTGAAATCATGACTGGCATATATGCCAAGCTACCACCCAAGTGTCTATGAAGGCCAAGTCAGATAGGCATGTATGCAGGCCCAAGTTCTGAAGTAGAGTGTCCCTTATGTTTAGATTACATAAAAACAAATTATGCCTTATTTATGCTGTTGTGTGAACATCTGCTGTATACCTTATAAACAGGCCACATTTTGTTGCTAACAGTTTCCTGAGCTCCTGTAGAGAAATGTCCTTTGATCTGACTGACTGTTCTTCCTGAGTACCTGCTTAGAGCATGTCATTCCTGCAAATAAAGCTTTAGGAGTTGGAAATTCTTACTCTTTGTTCCTAGAAACAAGGAGCCTACAGGTTCAGCTACTTTCTTATTTTAAAATGTCTTGTGTATTGCTATGCATACTTTCTTTGGTGTCAACCACCACCCAGCCATGCAGGATGTAGCAATTTATTATTATTATTATTTTTTTTTAATTTTGAGACAGAAACTTTAATTGGCCTGGCTTGGAATCACCAAGTAGGCTAGGCTGGCTGGCCAGTAATCCCCAGGGATCCTCCTGTGTCTGTCTCCACAATAAAGGACTATAAATGTGCACCATTACACTCAATTTTTTTTGACACAAAGATAATGTTTATTCTTAGAATTTCCGTTGCTTTTAAATTCCCTTTTTTTTGTTGATTTCTTTGTGTATTTCATACAGAACAGATCAAACAATCTTGATCATCTTTATACCCCCATCCCCGCTGGCACCCTCCCATACCCCCCGACTGGAGCCCATATACTTGTCATCCTTGTTAAGGGCCACTGGTATGTCAGTGTCTCCAACCGTTCCCCAGTGAAGTCTGTCCACTAAATCTAGTCAGCCTGTCTAGAGTCCCTCGTTTTAGGAAGATCAGCTCTTCTTCATCTAGCAGCAATCAGTTACCAACATTCCTTCAGATAAGATTGAAGTCTGCTGTTCATTTTCCCAATTCTATGCTGGGTTATTGCCTGCCCGAGTTTGCATGGGACTTGTGTATGCTGACACTACTGCCATAGAATCGTATGAGTAGGTTCCCAGGAACTTATAGGACTGTTTACATATGGTCATGACCATCCTCCCTGGCTGTTACAATCTCTCTGCCCCCTCTTCCACGAAAGTCCTTGAGCCTTGGGTGGGTGAAGTTTAATAAAGGAGTCCTGTCCAAGGACCAGCATTCAGCAGACTCTTGGTCTCTACACTTTGGCTATTTGTGACCTTTTGTGCTCCTGGCCCTCTGCTGCATGAGGGAGCTTCACTATTGAGAACTGAGACTAACAGGGAAGACAATTTTTTGCTATCATATAACCAGGGATTCCTTGTTGACAACCTGTATTTGTTGGCAAATATTTTAACACACACACACACACACACACACACACACTTCTATGAAAGGTCTATATACCCAAGAGCTGCAGTCATCTATAAAT